ATAGTGCTTGACAGAGTTTCCTTGAGAGGAAGCATGTTTATTTTCGTCCACTATGGATATGCCTGGACACTGAAGGATGACGCTGAATATCTAATTCAGGTGCTTCAACAGGTGGTGGTGTCTGAACCAAGATTGTGAATAATTGGATATTGAATTTCATTCTGAATGTGTTCAGTTTGAAACTCATATTGGACCATATAGACAGTAGGGGAATATTGGTCTGGGATGTTTAGGCCAGAAATAGACATGCAGAGGTCAACAGTTTTGCTAGTAGTTGGAGCCTGTGTAGCATCCCACAGTCCTCTCCCAAAGGCTTCCTGGGATGTGTCTCCCTACTTCTTGGAGCCCAGGACAGCTTTTTCAGAGCCTTCCGGTCTCTCGAGGGAGGGAGGGGAGGTCTGGCAATGTGATGTGATTCCTTGGACAGATCTGTACCTGATGCCTTCAGGGTCTGCGATTGCTACAGTTCCTCTCTAGACTTTAGCTTTCATTTTGATTTATAGACTTTCCCCATGGACCCAAATCCACAGAGTCTCCGAATTGAAATTGGACACGTGGAGTTTGTCTGGGTCAACAAATAAAGGATTTCTTCTGGGGTCATGGTAGAGGTCACTGACTGGCCGCCAGTGGACTGAGTCCAGCCAGCTCGTGTGTGTGTGTGTGTGTGTGTGTGTGTGTGTGTGTGCGCGCCCTACATAGTGTTTTTTTTTAAATGGAGTTAATCACCAGTTAATACACAATTGGGTGTTTTCACACAAAAATCAGGGTTTTTAGCTTCTTAGAAAAAAATCTCAGACTGTCTGACAATGTGGAGCCTGGACACTTTGTCTGAATTTCTTTTTGTCAGCAGGAACCTAACTGAATTGTGCCTTTAGATGGAACATATACTCTCCATAGATGTCACTTGCTGGAGGTTCATGGTCCTTGTAGGCATTTCATGGTCTTCATGACTTACAGGCAAGATTCTTGGAGACCCCTGGATTGATCTTGCTGGTCTTACATCTTTTCCTTCAACCATAAACCATTTAAGTGAGCACCAAGTGTGTGAGCAGCACTGAGTGAGAAGGTGAGGAAGGGGCAGGTGGGGTGTGGTGCCCTGAAGGGGCAGGTGAGGTATGGTGCCCCATCCACTATGAGTAACAGACCCTGCAGATGTTAGTCAGGTTGGCCCAGGGACCTACCTTTGGACTCAGGCTTAGTTCTGGACTCAGCATGTCAGCAGCCCCAGGGAATCGCTGGAGGCCTATCTGTGCAAGCTGAAGACCCTTCAAAGACAGACATTGGAGAGTCATTGGAATCTTGGACTCTGTCTATCTAAGAGCAGTCATGGATCCATACTTTGACCCCTGAACAAAACTGGCCTCCTTGGGCCCTTCTGGATAAGTCCTGGAATTGGTGCTAGACCAAAGTAGGAAATCTAGGTACTGATTGTGCTCTTATTTTTCATTCTCCAGCAAACCAATAAAGGTCATATTCCCCATGGGAGCCACGGCACAGAAGTGTCTAGCCTGGCAATTGCTGGGTATCTGAAAGACAACCAAAATATTATTTTGTCACTCAGTCCCCAGCAAAATATTCTTGAATCTGAATAAAGTTTACTGGTATGAACTGTGGAAGTGATTTTGCTGTGTTATGAAATCTTTGGAGTCATAGCAGGCTCTTACTGGCTTTCTTCTTCTGTCTGGAGCACCTTACCATCTGTCTCCACTCAAAGACAGTCTTGAATGAGGAAGCACACAGACAGGAAATTCTTTTTATTTAACCCAAATCCCTTAGGCTGCAACTTAAGCTCATTTCCTCATTTTGCATCCTGTGAATATGAAAAAACATCTTGTCATGGCCCTACCTGTCATGCATGGACTGTGAAGTTACCTCCCAATGTTCCCTCCGTTGGACTATATGATTCCTGTTGAATTGATGTTTGGGTTTGTCATTTTTCTTTAGAGACCCAGTACATGGGATAGATAGCTTTGAAGAATGTATCCAGTATCATCTTCATTAGATGAGAATACTGTAAATGATTACAAAGCTTCTGTGATTCATTTGTCCGGCAGAGAGGATGGTCTGTTTCAAGTTTCTAAGAACACTTAAAAATAAATAAGGACTCACTTTGTCATATTTCATCTTTATGCTATCAGAGTGCTGATTCCACAACACAGAACTCAGAATGCAACCAACAGAGCCCGAAGCTACATTCACACTCCTTATAGCTTTAGTTCACGTTGAAGGGTTGCACTCATGAGACCTTCAAGACGATAATCAGGAACAGAACAAATTGTCATACTTCTAACCCCAAGGATAAGTTTTCTGTCAAGTAATCTAAGCTCATGCCCATTGATTTGCACTTGCCAGAATGATTGTTCCTTAGTTAGATGCTGGTTTGATGACTTCAGAGCTGAGGCACTGGGGGTGAGAGGCAGGGCTGGAATGATGGGCGGGATTGCTTTTTATCTGGGCCTGCTGTTTGTCTTTTTGTCCAGTTCTCTCTGAGTTAGGCATGGACGAGGTAGGCATGAAGCACCAAAAATGACAGCAATTTTAATATTGAAGTCCATGGGAATCCAGGAAATGAAAATATCTCATCAGGTCGTGTTTTGTTTAACTGACCCAGTTGGTGTGTGGTGCGGTGGGTGGGAGGAAGAGGTCGTGATATTTGGCCGAAGGCATTTTGAGAACCTTAAGTTCAGAATTGATCTTATAAGGAGATTGACGATAAGGTTGCCTGTAAGATTTGGTTTCAGGGTCCCCAAAATGCCTTTATGTTAAAAAACAACCTTCATTAGGTAACTCTCTAAGGCTTAAATTGTCACTATTAGAAAGTCACTCCTCTGGTTTAAAGTTTTGTCATAAGAATGCAAATGTCCCTGAGAGAGAACATCACTCACTTATTCCATTCCTTCCAGAAGAGAGGGGTCGATGAGGACACACAGCACAAGGTGAAGTGATTGTGGTGGGTAGGGAGGAAGAATGCTCCCAAGAGAGGAAGATGGTGGGGGAAGGTGGCGTGGAGGGTGGTGGGGGTGGTAAACAGCTCTGGAGGTCTTACAGTTTGTTTTAGGATAGTATGTTTCAGTGGATATGGTCATCAACCATTGATTATGAGAGACCAATTCTGAGGGAGCATGAGCTTCTGGCAGTGCTGGGCTCTGGAGTTGGGCAAAGCCATGTGTGTAGTTGGCTCCATCCCTGGTGTAGCTGTGTGACTCAGCACAGAAATTACTCTATGCTGTGTCCAAGGTATCGCAGGGAAGAACAATGAACATATATATAAATTGCTCTTTTCATGTGTCAGTATTAAAAGTAAGTAATGTTCTGGCCTAGGTAGCTGTGTACTGATTGAATCACTGGTGCTGGTAGAAAATGTGACAGTATTTGGGTTTCACAGTTCTGACATTTTAGAATGTCTATTCAAGATCTCACTTTTCTTGAGGGAGATTTGGAAGTGAACTGTAAAGCAAAGTGCTATATGTATATTCATTCATTCATTTTCTTCCTTGGGAGAAACGCTCAACCATGAGCTTCCGTTTGTAGTTTTCGGGTATCTTGTTTTGCTTCTACACACCTTTTGGTCAGTATGAAATGTTGGATTCCTGGGAATGATTCCTGCTGAAGTTGCTTGTAGGTAAGGAAAGGTAAATGAAAATCAGAGAAGAGTAACCACTATTGCTAATTTTAAACACCCAGAAAATGATTCGTGTCTTCATAGTCTTCCCAACTCAAAATTTCCCAGAGAGCATGAGGCTGCTTACCTGTGATTTGTCCCTCACAGGTTTACAGGAACCTGAGCTCTGGAGTTGGGAGGGAATGCTTTGTAGATTTTTATCTGTGTCCATACCTAACATCATGCTTTTGTCTCCAGAATAGACATTCTTTCTCTAATGCTTCAAAATCCTCAAATTCATACTCTTCTTTTGTCCCTTGAATTTCTCTAAGGAGTTCTTTCCCTTGCTAATCATTTTACTCCAGAGGCAATGGGAAGTTCTGGGGGAAGTGATGTATGTTAGAATTATCTATGTTTATTCTGTTCAGAATTTTCATCCAATATTAAAATCACTTACTAACTCACATGCTCCTTTCCTTTTCTTCTTCCCTGAGACTCCAAATGCGTTTTTTCTTAATGTTACTAAGTTTAAAGGTTGTTGGTTTTGTTTTTAGGTTACTTTTTTCTTTCCTGAAGCATGACTCAATAGTCAGTTTCAGTTCCAGGTTTGCCCTAGATTTGTTTGACTGTGTTTGACTGTTGCTTGAATATTTCACATACATTTATATTATGTTGCATTACAATATGGGTTACATAGTGAGTCAAGAGAGTTTATTTGACAAAATGTTATGTTTCACTTTAGTAATTTTGAAAATGAAGTGAATTTCTTTGGAACCTCATAAGTCAAGTTAAAAAAGTGATCATACTTTGTACTAACTTGTTTTTCTTCTGGAACAAAATATGGAAGCATTTAAATTAGATATATGCTGATAGAACCAGAGTTTTACCACCCCTTTAAAAAGCTGTTGATGATCTTGGTTTGTTTTCTTTGTGGAAATAAATGCTTCTGTTATCTCACTTAGAATACAATGGATATTTTTCTTAATCAGGACAGTTTTATACTGTTCTCTCAGAGGTGTTTAAAGATTGTCCAACTGTATCACACAACATACTAATAACTTATTTACTATATAAATGCTACTGGAGAATATGGCAAATTACTAATTTGTTATTCTGTCACTAGCAACAGTGTAATCAAGCCAGCCAATGCCTAGAGTTTATTTTGATTTGTTTCCCTTTTGGTTTAAATTTACCACTCACAGTTATCCAAAATACGCAAAGGCCTGTGGGTTTGGTATATGTGTTTTGTTGTCATACTGTAATGACTGTACTTAAAGTCTTTCAGATCATACTGATTAAACGTCATTTACTGTTTTCCTAACAATATCAAAGAGGATTAAAAAAATTCATTTTCCCAATCTGTTACTGCCATGAGTTGATAGTTGCGCTGTTTACATAGTTGACCACCCACTGAAGCCAAGGCACGTGAAACTGCTGTCCACTAAAATGGGCCTGAAAGTCACGTGGGACCCACCCAAAGATGCTACCAGTAGACCTGTGGAGCATTACAACATTGCCTATGGGAAGTCACTGAAAAGTCTTAAATACATCAAGGTGAATGCGGAGACATACTCCTTCCTTATTGAGGATGTGGGTAAGTGACACTCTGATCTTGTTCCCAGTCAGAATTAACTGTGCACCAATATTCTCAGTTGCATTCTTAGGATGACAGCGAGACAACCCATGGCTGGGCTCAAAGTCCCTTGCGGTTCTTTGGGAATGGAGAGCTGAGTTCTGAGGGGGCTGCTGTTTGACAGCTGGCATTGGGCACTTGGGCTTCCCCATCCGTGCATGTGAACTCAAGTATTCCTGTCTCCAAACTGATGCAGGCAGATGATTTTTAGTTTCTGAATGTGCTTTCAGAAAGTAGATTGATCCTTTTTTACTTCGTAGAAACTTGACTGCTAGACAATGGAGTGGGCTGATCTAGAGACTTCGAACTTATGTGCCATTTTATAATCAGAGATTGGGCAAGTTGTATGTCCCTGTAGATGTGGAATACGTTATGCCTAGCCACGTCTGGTCAAAGGAGTAACACTTTGCCTTATTTAAATTTGATTTTAACTTGATTCTGGAGGTTTGGAATATTTGAGATCTTGCCTCAATATATTTTGTCTTATAAGTGCAGATGTAGTTGGTTTTGGGCTTAGGCTTCGCGCTGCCTCTGAATCCTCCATCTTCTGCTTTTTGATTCCAGTAACCTAAAGCCCCATTGATTCTTGCACCATGTCATGGCCCAACGTTAAGATGGATCATAAGGAAGGAACAGAAGTCAGCATTTGGGAAACAGGTCTCCTCTTGTGCCACCTTAGCACTTTGATCCTTTAGTGGATCACGGGCTCCTCAGCTTTGGTCCCCTGACCACAGCTGACCAACCTTACTCCTTCTCTACCTCTTGCATTTGACAACACACTTCCTGGGTAACAGAGCAGAAAGTGTATAAAAGGGAGATGAAGGAAGATAGACTCCCTTCCTCATGGCTTCAGCTAGATGTCCATTTCCCTTAGTCTCTTCCACATCACCTTGGCTCCCCAAGGCCAGCTGTGAGGTTAAATGGAGATTCTATCAGATCAAAGGCATGAGCGATCATATCTGCTTGCTCAAACCTCGGGTTGTCATGATGGCTGCAGAGAAGAAAAACATGTGAAAAGAGAGTCACAGAGCTCACTAAAAAGCAAATAGTATCTCCCAGATAACTTTCTGATGAGTTAACTCTACGGGTATCAAACACATGTGGATTAAATTTCTTTGAAATACAAACAAGCTCAGAGTAAAGAGAGAAAGTGTCTGGGGAAGCATGATTTTGCATTCTGCCTGACCCCAGGGCATTTCCCAATTAGCCTGGTAGGTTGTGCCAAACCCTGAATGCCACCAGGCCCTGCCACAGTGAGACAGAAGTCACACCAGTCTTGATCCCAGGGGGCATCAGCCAGGCTTCTGTTCATGGGCCTCTGGCTTGAGGACTGAGTGAAGTTTTGTTATAGTAATGCTCCCTACTTTGAGAAATGTCATTGTCATTATGACCTTTGACAGAACTAACCCTCACCTCTCCAGCTCTCATACCCTGAAATACCCACAGACTTTCATCTCTTCAAGGAATTGGCACCCCACTTACCTGTCACAAGAGAGTGATTCATTTTCGGGAAACCTAGCACTTACTAGGGTTTTACTTTGCAGAGCTACACGTTCAGGGTGCCCTCCCCTGTAACACGGGTCTTCGTTTCCTCTCCCATCCCATCAACTTTAGGAGCTCAGCCTAAGAGACCTCTGCTATTTGGCCTTGACCCCTAGATGAAAGTCAAAAGGTGAAGCCCAGTTATGTCAAGATAAGCATTTCCAAGACTCCAGGAAATACATATTTTTCTAGCTTTTTGTTGGAATGGTCAAAAACAACATGCAGACATAGTAAGGGGAACATTTTATTGTGAAAAGGAGAAAATTTAATGAAGCTTTACGTATTGCAGTGAAGGTTTGCCATGTGCTACATTTGATGAGTTACATTGACATTTCTTATTATTTACTGGAGATTTTCATTTGGAGCCTCTAACAGGGAAAGATTATTAGTAGTGACTGACAGTGTATGTTCAAACACCTATTTAGTGGACAAGGAGTTCCTGTTTCCTACATGGATTTCACATTAAAACCCTCAAAAGCTCTTTTTGTTGACTGTTTATGAATCCAGGTTTATTACACACATCATGTACCTTGTATGAAATAAAGTTTATGTTCTTTGGGTCATGTGTTTTTCAGTTGCATGAGAAGAATGTTAGTGATTTTAATTTAAAAAAAGAGAGACATCTATCATTATGTTTGTCACTAAATTTGGATTTTTGTATTTGGTTATAACTGGTATAAGGAAGATGGCTATTCATGGTTAGTGAGTGAAACTGTGTCATTCTTGGAGATCTGAATCGGTGGCTTGATATGAACCGTATGTTTCAGAGCCGGGGGTAGTGTACTTTGTGCTGCTTACTGCAGAAAACCACAGTGGAGTGAGCCGTCCTGTTTACAGAGCTGAAAGCCCACCTGGTAAGTCCTATCTAGAATCAGAGGCTGTAGTGTTGTTACTTAGATTGGGAGTGACATCCCTTCTTGCTTCTTCCAGTAAATGTAAATTTAGAGTTATTAAATAATTTTTGAACAAGAACTTTTTAGACTTGTCTAGCAAGCTGACAGATTGAAAAATGGAAGAGACTTACCCTTTCTTTTAAAAGAGTTTTAATGTAGGTTATTAGCATTTCATCCAGATGTTTTGAATACTCGCTAGAGTAAACCGTGTGTAAAAGACCAAAAATATGTATTGTCCGTAAAGCTGAGGTGTCGAGTGACTAATATGGGCTGAGCAGATCCTTTTGAAGATTGTTGAAAAGATCATTTAGTTATACATTATTGATGCACTGTAATATGGAAAACCCAACAGTCCTCGTTTCTAACTATCAAGTTGCATTTCCTTAATTTAGGAGGTGAATGGATCGAGATTGATGGTTTTCCCATTAAGGGTCCAGGACCATTTAATGAAACCGTCACAGGTACTACTTGCTCCTTCATGTCAGATTCATGTTTTCACTGAAGCAACGTCTCGCAAGAGAGTTGTGCTTCCGTCACACACATGTGCTCACAAACCTTCACTGAGTTCCCATCGCTAAACTAACACACACGCCACACAGTCTTGGTCAATCTGTTGTGCACCCGATGAACTAGACTGTAACCAGTGTTGCTTACTGTTCACCATTCTTTCATGTTCTCGTGTGGGGAAGTGTCTGCGTCTACATCTGGGGATACTGTTGCCCTCTTCACAGGCAAATATGGTGGTTGAGATGGCAGTACTGACCAGTTTAGGATATTTATAGCTCTTCTACCTGTGAATCAATGAATGGGGTACCCCCAAAATAGTGGCTTTTATGGGCTAACATGTTGCTTCAAGTCTTGCTTTTTTCTTATGACCTTGGGATATTTTGTGATATGTTAGATGACCTACCTTCCATCTCTGCTCCATATTTGTGTATCTGTTTGTTTTCTAATTTGGATGTTCATGTTGTCTGGTCATATTGTTTTACTTACTGAGAAAAGTGTTGACATTTCTTGTGTGTTTCTTGAATGTATTTAATTGATGGTGAAAAAATAATGTAAAATGAACGCAGCTATTTCAGAATGTGGTTGGGTAATATCTCAAAGGCACTGTGGTGAGGAGCTATGTTTTATTTTCATGTGCCATGTGTTTAAATGTATCAATCTGGCATTATTGTTGACAGGAAGGTGAGTATGATGAAACCAATGATACTTATCTGCTTTTCAGACCAGATTTGATGGTGTAGGTGGTCTTCACAGTGCATGCTATATGAAAAGAGAGTGGAAGAACAAAACAATCAGAAAGGAAAACTGGCTTTTGGGGAGAGGCTAAGTGTTCTTGTTTGAATGACTGTGAGGTGTTGCAATGGAAATGGCTTGTAGGTGATTTGAGAAGACAGAATGGAAGTTGGAAGAGGCAAGTAAGAACATGGACTTAGGAGTCATGCTATAGGGCAGAATTTGAAATAGAGAGCTCATGAGTGGTTGAGGATTAGCAGAAAGAAGAGCAGGAGCTCAGGAATCAAACCATGGAAATACTGACAGTAAAATGGTCAACAAGAGTACACCTAGCAAGTGTGCAAAAGAAGAAAAGGTGTTTATTTTCAGAGGTTGTTTACCTCTGAAGACACACATGTAAACAGACACATATGAACCTTTTACTGTTGGATGTTTGTGCCTTGCATTTGTATCTTGTATTTTGTGTTTTAAATAAGCGTTTTATTTTTACATCCTTCCTGATAAAGTTTTTTGAATGACAATAGCTTTAGAACAAGTGATTTTCTTGCTTTTTCAGAAGTAATTAATTTCTTATGCCCTCTTTAATAGTGTGTGTGCACACATGTGTGTGACCTTTCTGAGTAAGCAAGCAGAAACTCTGGGGACCTGGGATCAGACAGCCGTGTTCCAGCTCATGACTGGTTGTATGTATTGTGAGATTATTTAACTTCTGTCTGCAGGAGGCTTTGTAGGCCCTGGTTGCCAACCACTCTGCTATAATACATGATGTTTTATTTGTCATACATGGTGATTAAAAAAGATGCCAGAGGAAATTGCTGGCTCAAACCACTTGAAGCATATAATATAAAGCAGAACTTAAAAAAAACCCAGGAATATCCAGAATGCACAGACTAGGTTAAAGTACTTCATAAATGACATTTCATTGTTAATAAAAATAATAATTTATATGAAATTATCGGTAAGTGATCACAATGTATCTACACCTTTCGATGAGGCTTGGAAAATGTGATCTGCTGTTATTCCAAGAAATTGTTAAATGTATGATAATCCTGTCAAACAAAAGAAGTCTTCAGAATTCCCTGTCTTCATTCAAAGAGGAATTTGCCTTCAAAAACGCAGACATTAGCATGGGCACCTGGTGTAAGGTCCAAAGGGATTCACTTCAGTGCTTTGACTGATAGGGTCTCACGTCCTTCCTGTGTTTTCTCAGAAACCAGAGGAATAGCCATTTTTAAATTTTCTTTTATTTTTATGTATTTATTTTTTTGAGATGGAGTCTCGCTCTGTCGCCTAGGCTGGAGTGCGGTGGCACGATCTCGGCTCACTGCAAGCTCCGCCTCCTGGGTTCACGCCATTCTCCTGCCTCAGCCTCCGGAGTAGCTGGGACTACAGGTGCCTGTCACCACATCCGACTAATTTTTTGTATTTTTTTTTAGTAGAGACGGGGTTTCACCATGTTAGCCAGGATGGTCTCCATCTCCCGACCTCGTGATCTGCCTGCCTCAGCCTCCCATAGTGCTGGGATTACAGGCGTGAGCCACCGCGCCCGGCCAGGAATAGCTATTCTTTTAAGCTGCTAGAAACAATGGCTGCAGTTCTGATTCCAGAAGATATCCTTTTGCAGGCTTACAGCTATCTCAACTGAATTGTCTTTACCTAAAAATAGGACTTTAATTATTTCATTCACTTATTACAGGTGGAGGTCTAGGTGCTAGAGGTACAAGCTAGACAAGGGATCACCTCAGTGAAACTTATATTCTAATAAGAAAGAAAGATAACAAACAAATATGCACGAAATGATGCATATAATCTATTAATTTGCTGGGGCTGCCATAACAAAATGCCACAGGCTGGGTGGCTTAAACAACACAAATTTATTTCTCTTGATGATTGGGTCTAGAAGTCCAAGGTCCTGATGTTGGCAGGTTTGATTTCTCCTAAGGCCTCTATCCTTGGCTTGTAGATGGTCACCTTTTTGCTGTGTCCTCGAATGGCCTTTTCTTTGTAAACATGCGTCCTTGGTATCTGTGTGTCCACATTTCCTTTTTATAAGGTCACCAGTCAAATTGGATTAAGGCCCCAGCCTAATGGCCTCATTTTAACTCACCTCTTTGAAGACCCTATTTCTGAATATAGTCACATCTGAAATACTCGGGTTAGGACTTCCAACATATGAATTTGGCAGAGGGGGCACAATGAAACCCGTAACACAATCATAAATTATTTTAAAAATCAACAGTACTGTAATAGAGAATAAGCAGATGGGAGTGAGAGTTTGGGAGCCTAGGAGACCCTGATAAGACGGCGGCACCAAGTTGAGATCGTAAGGGACTGTGAGGGTGAAGCCATGTGGGGAGGAGGAGGAGGACCATACCAGAGAGTCCTGGACGTTGGGCAAGACTTCAGCAATTCCCAGACTGGTCAGTCGTCCAAATATGAAACCTCTCGGGACTCAGGAAATGACAGGACCAAGCGAGAATGTGGCGCGAAGGCAGCAGTTTTGGCTCCTCTTGTGTTGCTCATCTCACTTCTCCCAGCCGGAAAGCTTTCTTTGTACTTAATGCAGATTCCCTCTTGCTGGGATGGAAACCTGTATCCTCTTGTTCTGTCCCCAGGGAAGAGATGTCACAAGTCTGTTCGTTTACTGGAATACTATTATGTAGCTTTCCTGCAGACTTCTTTTCTGCAAGTTGTTTTGGCTTTTTTCTGTAACTGGATCTGAGTAACCTGTCAGTGCAGAGCCAGGCCCTGGGGGTCAGGACAGGGACACAGACACGTCCCCACTCTGCTACCCGCCAGCCTAGGGCCTCAGCCCAGCTAGTTAGTCAGCTTTTGTCAAACTCTTCATCTGGGAAACAGTATTAGGTTCTGGTTAAGTTTAGTTCTGAATATGATCATATCTATTTAATCATTTTTAAGGTTTTTCTAAAAATAGCGTCCTCTGTGCTTTTCTCAAGTTTTGGAGCCTACACTAGGCCTAGGACTGAAATAAAAGTCTAATTTCTGCCTCATTTTTCTTTACATTATATAATTCACGATGCTTGCTCATTTTTTTGGACAAACGGTAGGTTGGACTCAAGTTCAGCATAGAGTCCACAATTACTCCTTGGCCATTTCCAGTTGATGCTGCGTGACACCCGCCTGCAGACCAGCCATTCCCTTCCTTATCTTGGTCACCCACTGACTTCTGGGTTGCTCCCTAAATCCAGCACCTTCAGGCACTTGGCGCATAGTGGGTCTCTATGCCAGGCATCCATGACAACGACCCATTTGATATTCTCACCTCCTGGCTCTAACTGCCACCTCCCCTCATGGAGTTAAGGTAACTGATAGAGTTGATACCTTCCAAAATCTAGACTCCTGGAATCCCCATCTGATCACCATCATCTCACTTCCTCAACGCCCTCGCGTCAGAAGCTTCATTTCAGACTGTAGTAGACTTTAGACCTGTAGACCCTTCCCAGCTGCGGGGTCCAGAAGCTGCTGCTGTCCCGTTTCTTCTTTACTTTATCCAGGTCCCATCATTCCAACCACACTCCACATGCAGGTCTGCCCCTGCCGTTTCAGCGGCCTCACTGCTGGAGTGCTGCCTCTGCCCGTTGCTCCACCAGCACCCCCAGCTTTCTCTGTCTGCCATGCTGATGACTGGGCTTTGTGAAACAGATGAAAAGTTGATTTGATCTGAGTCACAACAGCTTGTCAGTGCTGGTTTTCTCACTTCATCCAGGCCCTCAGTGCTGCTTGGCCACTTCCTGATTGTCCTCACACAGTTTCCTTTCTTTCTGCCACAGTGGCTAGTCCAAAATGTCACCACTTTGCTCCAGCCCATTTCCTAGCCTGGGTTCCTTTCAATTCTAGTAGGTGACTTGCTTCCTCCTTCCCTGGGGGGGATGAAGGTTTCAGCTGACCTTCTTCTCCCTCCTGAACCCTCACTGCTCCCTTCCCTCCTGCTGGCTCCAAGGAAGGGCTGTTGTCACCTTCTCTTTAAGGCTGACTTCATCAACATCAGTTTCTTGGAAAGCATGGTAGACCTGAGGGCAGATCTGGGGCGGGATTCATCTTTGGATCCCTCCCAGTGCCTGGCTCAGAAAGCTAATACCTACTGTTGAGCTAATTATTTGACTCTGAAACAATGAAACTATGAAAACACGAAAAACCAAAGTTCGGCATTGTAAATATTTTGGCATTGTAAATAGTTCCTATCTAGCACTCTTTTCATGGG